AAAAAAAAAAAAAAAAATTGGCATACCTTGAGAATAATCAATTTCAATTCTGTAATGTTATCAGGGTGGACCCAGTATTTCGTGGTTTGGCGGACAAAGTTCTGCTGAGACCCCCCCGCGGCGGCATCACCCTTGACGGGGTTTCCCTTGGTGCGGACTAAATCGTAGAGCTTGGAGAGTTTCACGACAAATGCATCATAATTATCCTTGAAAAATGGTTTGGCTTTGAGGCGAGCCGCGAAGACGGGCCTCAGATGCCATCCGGTTTGTTTCTGGCCAAGTTAGCGCACGGACGCAGTTGGGCTGAGACGGGGGGAAAAAAAAAAAAAAGGAAGAAAGGCGTAAATAGGAAAATGGAATGGCTGTAAGCGTACATCATGCTTCTTGATAATTTTCTGAAACCCAGTGTAATTCAACTGAGTAAATTTAGCCAGATCATGAACATCGGCTATGATGTCACTCAAGACCTGCTCCAGGAACAGAAAATCCTCATCGGACGGAGGCGGGTGTGTAACAGATCGGACACTCGAGCGACGAGCTCCAGACTGGTTGCGATTACTTTCGAGCCTCGAGATGACATCGTTCACGTCCTTTTCGCTGGCCTGAATGCGCCGAACGATCTCCTCACTTTTGATCCTTTGGAAGTTGAAGACCTTGTCAAGATCGTTCTCGAGGAGGGAGATGAAGCGCTGCTCATCATCCTCAGCCCATGCTTTGCGGTCTGGTTTTGTATTTTCGGGGGTTGGTTCCTGGATGAAGTCGGTTTTGAGGGCTTTTTTCAATTCGTCGTAGGCGATGTAGTACCAGTAGTACTCTTGGATAATCGATGAGCGGAGATGCTCTCCGAACCTGGCGAACAAATGACCAGTCAGAAAAGGTCAATTGGGTATATTTAGGAGAAATGCTGGATGGAATGTCTTACCGCATGATGGGCTAACCCGTTGATGACGATAGCCCGGTTGGAGGGAAAGAGAAAGGGATAACAGAGTAAACAGAATAGACAAGAGATAATCAAGCAAGGCAAGCAGTATGTTCACTAATAATTCCCGTTTGTATACCACAATTATATGCAGGGACAGAGTCAGAGAAAAGAAAAGAGAGAGAAGATGACGGAGCAGAGGAGAGACTACGTCCAGACCATGTGATCTGGAGTAGCTGACTTCTGGATACGGTTAGCGCAACCGCAGATCGACGGGTTCTCTTGATATGCACTGATAATGTCACCTGACCTGTCAGTGTCTTTCTATGTGCTCTGGTCGTCTTATCGCTCTTGTATTCACTCTCCTGTGATCTCGTTTCCCTCAATTCCGTTGATACAAAATCTCTGTCAGTAAAATATTAGACGGGATTAAGTTATAACTCGTTGCCCAGACATGAGACTCAATTAGCCCGTCCACTGCTATCAATACCGACCACTCACCGTGGCACGTGCTCACCTCTAGCGGAAAACACTATTCCTGATTGGGACATGACCGTGAATCCGGCCGACCTGCCGGATTCACCCCCCTGCTAGTGTTGTCGGGAATATTCCGGGCTCGGCCGTATACGGCATGTCTCCAGAGCATTTGCACAATAAGCTAAATTGAACTATATGAGACAAATGAATGCAGGGATGTGTAAAAGTACCATTACGAAGCTCGTTGCTATATAACTCATTTCCACCAACTCCAGCACACCGGGTAACAAATCTGGCAGGTACTCTATACATATCATATCCGTATCATTGGTAAACAAAATAACATCCTCAGCCCATCATCTGGATATTACTGTAATGCATAAGATCGTGGTCACATCATTCCAATCTCCTAATCCTGAGGTGACTACGGCAGCCGTCCTCCAGCAACACGACGAATGCTGCGCCGCGCACCGTCCCCGGTAACACTCAAAACGCCCTCAGTTTCCAAGGCTCGCACGGCGTCTGAAAATTCGCCGCCATCCACAGGAACACTGCTCTGGTCACTGAGGACCTTGTACGCCTCCGCCCACCGGGCAGAGCCGCTACCGCTACTAAGCTCATCCACCACCGAAAGCAGACCGCGCTTAAGGGCATCGCGCTGGCGACGCTCACTGGCACTTGTTCCCTCGGTGAGCAGACCCATATCGATGAGACCGGTGCGTTGGTCAGTGGCTGACTGCTTAATGGCCGAGCGGATCAGGCGCACGGCTTCTTCCACGTCGTCGGCGGTCACCTCCTCGGACAGACGCATGCGCGCGTGGGCTTCTGCCAGTCGGATCATGGATTCGAGCTGACGGGTGGTGGCGGTGATGCGACGGTCCGATGTGCGGATGTCGTCGCCTAGTTTTCGCATGCTCACGTAGGCGTCTGAGAGCACCCGGCCTGCCGCTGGCGTAAGAACGGGGTTCACTTTGTTTCTAGCGTAAGTAATGTAGGCCGTCAGGAATTCGATGGGCTGTAGATACCGGTTAGCATAATTCTACAGATTGTCTATGTGAATTGATACTTACCAAAATCTCCTCTTCACTCGCGTTGTCGGGTCTATCCTCCAAGTACATGTTGACCAAGTGTTTCGCCAAACGGCGGTCCTCTTGCTCATCAACACGGTCCAGGACGAGATACACCAGGTCGAAACGAGACAACAATGTCGGAGGCAGGTCGATGTTCTGCGGCACAGGAATGTTGGGGTTGTATTTACTGCCGATAGGGTTCGCAGACGCCAAGATACTGGTTCGCGCGTTTAGGGTTGTGATGATACCTGCCTTGGCAATGGAAACAGTCTGCTGTTCCATGACTTCGTGCAGGACGGATCGCGTAGACTCATTCATCTTGTCGAACTCATCAATGCAGCAGACACCGCCATCCGAAAGGACCAAGGCACCAGACTCGAGGACCATCTGGCGGGTTTCCGGGTCGCGGGTCACGTAGGCTGTCAGACCAACTGCCGAAGAACCCTTACCACTGGTGTAGACACCACGAGGAGCTATCTTGTGAACATATCGGAGGAGTTGCGACTTGGATGTCGACGGGTCACCACACAGAAGGATGTTGATATCACCACGATACCGCGGGTTACCACCCTTTTGGAAAGTCTTGTTCGTGCCTCCAAACATCTGGAGAAGGATACCCTTCTTCACATCATCCATTTCGTAGATACTCGGCGCCAGCGAACGAGAGAGAAGCTCATAGATATCAGGTCGCGAGGCGGTACGTCTGATCTTCTCTTCTTCTTCTGCGGTGATCTTGCGTGTCTGTTCGGAATCACCAGCAGTCTGATCTTGCAATTCCTCCTCGACGGTCGATACATCGACACCAAGCTTCTTGCGATCCGTCTTCTGGACGTGTAGCACATCGATATACGTCTTGAATAGTGCTCTCTGTGTGCGCTGGCGCGGGTTCACCCGCACGGGATTGCACCGGAAAATACCAGTCACCTCCACGCGATCACCGGCCTTGCAAATGTCCACCAATTCGTCGTACACGCACAGCGAGACCGAGTGGGGAGTTTGACCGTCAGGGACGTTGTCGGGAGTCTCTTGTAGTTTGATAACTTGCTTGTCGGCAAAAGAACACCGGTTGTGGATGATCTGCATCGAGTTCCTTGCCTGACAAACTTGACGGGGGCAAATGGTGGGCTCAGCAATCTTGCCACGGTCAATGTCGACCTGGGCACCGTGGTTACACATCTGGCAGCGGAAGAATGCTAACGGGGTGTCAGTGATTGGGTTCTCTTTTCAATGAAACATGTTCCGGACTCACCCTCTTTCATATCCGGAATGATAGGGGTGGTCCGAATAACCAAGCCTTTGATGCTCACCAGCTTGTCCATGTCTATACACACGTTAGCCAAAGTCGTAGATGATTCTAGAATGGGTCGCACAAACCCGCTGGGTCAAGCTCTCTCATGTTCACTGTGGAATCGAGTCCAAACGGCAAAACCTTATAGATCCTGGTCTCGACTTCTGCAACGAGGTCGGGGATCTCTGGCTGAGCGTCGGAGCCTGCATCTCTTGCATGAGCTTGAGGGCGGCTGCGTGCTCGCAACTGATTCATTTCCCTCCCTGCTAGATCAACCATCACATCCTTGACGCCCTGATCCATCAGGGGAATAATTTCCTGGGGGTAGGAGTGAAGCTGATGCCACAGTTTCAACGTTGACGGATATGCCTTGAGGTTCTTGGCATCTAGGTTGAGACTGGTGACACCCAATTGACGCATGGTATTCAACGTGCTGATATATTCCCTCTCCTCTGCAATGTCCCCCATTGTACGGGTCTCATCTTCAGTCGCACCTTCTGCCCACAGACGGTATTTAGTGGCGTAATTGTAGAGGAAGTTCTTGAAGGCGTTGATGGAATCTTGGAGCGCAATGTTCGTACCCCAGATGATCCGGGTTGAATCGCCACCTAAGACATCGGCCTCCGAAGTACCGGGGTTAATGTTGGAAAAAGTCGCGTCGGATTGAGGCTCCCCGTCGGGAACAGGCATTCCATTACTATCGACAAAAAGTCTTCGACGACGGCTTGGAGTGGAACTAATCCCGCCAGAATTCAGATCGTTGCGGCGTGAGATGCCGCGGTTGCCACCTGTAGCGGATCTTGAAGAAACGAAAAGTCCACTGCTGTCGGAGTGCAGACCCCGGCTTTGAGCGCGCGTCGGGCTCGAACTAGGCATGTATTGAATGGGGGAAGACTCTGGTAAATTTGTAAGTCCTCATCGCTGCGCTCAAATCAACATTAGTGTAGACATACCTCGTACGGTTGATGCGTTCCCTCGGGGTGTCGTGTCACCAGGCTCATCCATTCTAATATCCGGTGTCTCGGCGTTGTCGTCGTTTCCTCTGGATGGAGAGGATTGGAAGAAGATTGGAGACGATGCCGGCATTGCTGATTCTTCTCTCAGGCGTCTCGACGCCCGCGGGGTGGTTTGCTCCTGTTGTTGGCGGGACCGTGTTGAGTGCGCAGGGGAGGCAGTGGCCGAGTCCCTTGATTGACGGGTCCGGCGAGACGCTGGGGAGGACATGGTGATAATCTAAGGCCGGTCGGCTGTCCACTATGTAATTAACAAGACCGACCACAATGGCAGCGTGATGGAAGGTGGTGGAGGGTATGGAATGTTGGATGTTGGTGGTGGTGGGAGTGGTAAAGTTGGCTGCTGCGGTGGATACGTTCTTCGAATTCTTTTTGGTGGACTTTCCGGACGCGTTGCTACGCGATGGACGCGTTAATTGATTGCCATTCGTGGGTAGCGCGTTGAAGTCAATATTTCCCTATATGGATTAGCGTGGGCCATTATTAGTGGTCGCCACGCCAAATTTACGTTTGATATTAGAACAGCAGAGAATTTTATTTGATGGTTAAAATCACAGAAAGTATGCAATGGAAAGGAGGAGCAGGAATATGAAGAGATATATAGATAGAAAATATAAAATAAAAAATAAAAAAAAGAGCTCCTACCCGGGTTCGAACCGGGGTCTCGGGAAGATTCTAATATAGTTATCAAAATCCCAGATGCTAACCTCTACACCATAGAAGCAACTTGTTATAATATCTTATCTAATAGCAGCTTATTACTAATAATAAGAACGACAGAACGTCTAGGACCTTACTTTCACTTTTCGTTGAGGTACTCGTCCAAGGTAATCAGCCAACAAGTAGAATAAATATTGATGCAACATAAGTTATATATCCTTACTATCACCCATGAGAATAATAATCATCTCAAGCTTAGTATATAAATCAGTCTTATCTGCAGCCATTGGGATCTCGTTGCCTACCTGGGTCCCTCCATGTAACCCAGCCGAAAAGCAGACATGACATCCTAGGATACTACTCTCTACGCATTGTAAGATAAAGTAATATGGTTTAAACCTACATGTTGGAGTTTGCATGAAAGTATAATTACAGGTTGGCTCATTGGTTCAAAAACACAGCAAAATGCCGCAAGGTCAGCACGAATATATCATTGTTTGAACGCGAACTGGGCCACCAGTCTGTTCCGTATTTGCCACCCCAAAAAGGAGCAACATATTGTGGCATCTGTTGGTGAGACCTCCTCTTTCTTTCCTTCCTTTAAGACCAGGGTACTAATCATAGTGGATATGCAGTAAAGATTAGTATCAGCCCTGAAAACTAGCGCTCCGAATAGAACACCAACGAAGGCCTGGAAATAGACACCATAGACGATAGGGCTCTTTGACCGTCTGAACGGACTATTCCTTTGAGATCAGACCAAATCATCTGCTTTGTTTTCCGTTCAGACTCATTCTCTCCCTTATTTCCGTGTAGCAGCGCCAGACAACTATGGTACACTACCACACTGCTATTTGTTTCACGTACCATGCAGCGTAATATTTGGGTTTGTTGGCCACAAGAAAAGAGCCAAAAATAAAAGGCAACGTATGACCTGCAGGTTGAAAAAGAAAGGAGAAGAAGAAAAAAAAAAAAAGGAGAAAAAAAGAGCAAAAGCAAAAAATGAGCTCCTGCCCGGATTCGAACCGGGGTCACGGGAAGATCTTGATAAAGGTATCAAAATCCCAGATGCTAACCTCTACACCACAAGAGCGAGGTTCGTCACAAAGGTCGCATATTAAGCTATAACATGGGATTACACTAGCCACATGCATATACGATCGGCATGTGGGGGAAGGCCAGCAGGCATCCATGAATGCCCTGAAGAACTCCTGAAACGATAACGCCACATATCGTTCTCGCATCTTTTATTATGTATTATATATGTAATTCTACGTTCCTCTTTCATGCCACTCTTACACAGTAACGGTGGATAACAGGTCATTTAATATATTTAGGCGCCAATACAAAGACCAATATCATACTTGTATCCGCCAGAGACAGTGACAGTCACAACCAGACGTTTCACCAGGCGCCCTGATGTCATCGATCGACCGTACAGCGTATTTTTCCTATCTTCAGGCACTGTTATCGTATATCTTACAGGATTCAATCTATCTCATCCACTGTAGCCCCTGGATCGGACGTATTGTGTAATCCCAATACAACGCTTAGTTCCCTGTTCGTTGGGCGCCTCGAATTTTCCATTCCGCTATTCCCAATTCGGTAAGGCCGGCGCGACGTGCTTGTCATGGCTTGATTCTTATTATGCTTCGAACTCTCCTCCCTCACTTTCTCTTTTTTTATTCTCTTTCTATGTGTTCTTTTGTCACCCACAGTGCTCCAATTGTTCAACGCAGCCTCTTTCATGCACTGAATGCGCCAGGGATGCGGTTCTCTATATGACGGTTTTCTCCTTTTAACTCGTGGGTGCTGTTCTGGCTGGTCTGGGACCACCGTGACATGTGTTGTTTGACTATTTCGCCTACCTAATACTTATAATTGTCGTTTTTCTATCTCTTTACTGAATTACTGCATAGCGCCTTGCATTCAGCAACTTTTATCCTGCCTTTTTTCTCATTCCTCACAACCTTACAATCCTTGAACGGCCGTGGTAAGCCAAGATGGCTGCCCCCGATTTGGGAACGGCGCTGGAACATGCTGGTGGCAACGGTCAGAAAAACGAGGGTGTTCCGATTTCGACCTTTTTGGCTTCGTTGTCCACCGCCATCGTCGTTTTCGCAGTCGAATTCCTACTCTTCTTGCTTCTCAAGGGGAAGCTGACCCGCATTTAGTGAGTGATGGACCAATGATTTTCGGGGAACCTATGGAACCATGGCTGACAAAACCCTAATTACTCCATAGTCAACCTCGAACATATCTCGTTCCCGACAGAGAACGTACCGAACCATCACCACCGGGTCTGTTCCGCTGGACCGTTCCCGTTTTCCGCACCTCGAGCACCGAATTCATCCAGAAGTGTGGGCTGGATGCCTACTTCTTTTTGCGATACTTGCGCATGCTTCTGAAGATCTTTGTTCCTCTGGCGATCCTGATATTGCCGGTACTTCTTCCGTTGAACAAGGCGAATGGTAAAGATCAGAATTTCAAGAATGGGACGGCGGGCGGCCACTGGAACGTCACTGGTTTGGATCAGCTGGCGTGGGGAAATGTCGCTCCGGAACATGTGCACCGATACTGGGGACATTTGGTGATGGCGGTTATTGTGGTTTTATATGTCTGTGCTGTGTTTTATGATGAACTCAGAGGCTACATCCGTCTCCGACAGGCCTACATGACCTCCCCTCAACACCGCCTACGAGCATCCGCAACAACCGTCCTGGTGACCGCCATTCCGGAACGTTGGCTCAGCGTGGAAGCGTTAGATGGACTATATGATGTTTTTCCCGGTGGTATTCGCAATGTTTGGATTAACCGGAATTTCGACGACCTCAACGAGAAAGTCAAAGAACGGGATGCACTGGCCCTGAAGCTAGAGACCGCTGAGACAAACTTGGTTATCAACTGCAAAAAAGCACAGCTCAAACAGACCAAAATAGAGGCAAAAAAGACAGGGAAAAACGCCAAAGCTGTGGGCGGCGAGGAAAAGGCAGCTACCGATAACCATGCATCTCAGTTCGCAATGGGTGCTGGAATCAGCTCCGGTAACCCGCATCAAGCGCACACTTTGAACCAAGTCTTACACCGCCCGGCTTCTGGGGAACGGAAACGCTATAATCCATTGGATCCCGCGATGTACGCGGCAGAGGCGGTCGGACATGGTGTCGGTAAGCTGGGGAAGTCAGTAATCGGTAGCTTCAGAAAGGCCGAGCCCACAACAAACGGATCATTCACCCAGACCGTCGACCCCGTTCCGGAGGACAATGAAGACGGTCCTGTCCAAGTCAGCGCAGACGATCATTCCCGTGCAAGCCACGAGGGCCATCATGAAGAATCAGATGTCGACAGAGCTCACACCAACGAAACGGGAGGTGAAGATTCGAACGCTACAGTCACTACTGAGCCTGATTCCAAACCGAAAAGGCCTTTTTGGAGAAGTCGGGGATCTGGCAACTCGAAAGTGAGCAACAAGACGGAGCCTGATGAGTATCCTTTGACAGGCCCCGAGTCTCCTATTGGCAACACGGAAAGTTTACGCTCAGACAGAGCTAGTACACACAATGATGAGAAAGCCAAAGGTAAAAAAGGGAGTGCCCATAAAGAAGGTGATACCGAAGAAGGCCAAGAGTATCCACTCGCATACAACGAGGGTTTTGACAACGAAGACTTTGGAGAGCCCGTGTGGAAAAAGTACATCAAGCAAAAGGATCGCGAGACGATGCGCTTGCCGATTTTCGGCTGGAGTTGGATGCCCTCCCTTTGGCTCATTGGGAAGAAAGTTGATACCATCGACCATTGCCGTAAAGAAGTGGCTCGGTTGAATTTGGAGATCGAAATCGACCAACAGCATCCTGAAAAATTTCCCCTGATGAATTCTGCATTTATCCAGTTCAACCACCAGGTCGCCGCGCACATGGCATGTCAGGCAGTCAGTCACCACGTTCCAAAGCAGATGGCTCCTCGTACCGTTGAGATTTCCCCTGACGATGTGATTTGGGACAACATGTCCATCAAATGGTGGGAACGGTACCTGCGAACGTTTGGTATTCTTGCCCTGGTATGTGGCATGGTAGTTGGATGGGCTCTTCCCGTGGCTTTCACGGGTTTGTTGTCTCAGTTGACGTACCTGGAAGAGACGTTCCCTTGGCTTGAGTGGATCAACACGATGCCCGGCTGGTTTATTTCCGCCATCCAGGGTATTCTGCCTCCACTGTTTTTGGCCATCCTGATGGCCGTCCTGCCTCTTATTCTGCGTTTCCTCTCGAGAACACAAGGGCTGCACACAGGTATGGCCGTCGAGCTTACCGTTCAGAACTATTTCTTTGCCTTCCTATTTGTGCAGCTGTTCCTGGTTGTCGCCATTTCTTCGAGTTTCTCGACGATTATCAACCACGTCACGGATGTTACCAGTTGGCCAGAGTTGCTTGCGCAGAACATTCCCTCGTCGAGCAACTATTTCTTCTCTTACATGATTCTGCAAGCCTTGTCAGTGAGTGCAGGAGCACTAGTCCAAATCTTTGGCTTGGTAAGCTGGTTCATTCTCGCGCCGATACTGGATACGACTGCTAGGACTAAATGGGCACGAACGACGAACCTGAACCAGATGCAATGGGGAACTTTCTTCCCTGTGTATACGACGCTTGCATCGATTGGTATGTTTATTTCACTATAGAATTGAGCAGGTTTCAGTGATCGCTAACTATTATGATGAAAAGGTTTGATTTACTGTGTAATCGCTCCTTTGATCTTGGTCTTCAACGTGATTACGTTTGGCCTTTTCTGGTTCGTCTACCGGTACAACACGCTGTATGTCACGAAGTTCCGCTTCGACACCGGTGGCCTACTCTTTCCCAAAGCCATCAACCAGCTGTTTACGGGTCTCTATGTGATGGAACTCAGTCTCATTGGATTATTCTTCCTGGTCCGTGACGTCGACGGCACAGTTGCCTGTGAAGGACAGGCTATTTGCATGATTGTAGTTTTGATTCTTACGGTCGGATATCAATTCTTGCTGAACGAGGCTTTCAGTCCTTTGATTCGGTATCTGCCCATCACCCTGGAAGATGAAGCAGTTGAACGGGACGAAGAGTTCAGTCGCGCTCAGCGTGCTCGCTTGGGCTTGGATGATACAGACGACGAAGATGAGGAAGAAGAGGAGGAGGAGAAAGAGAGGAGAGCAACTGCAGCGAAATTGGAGCATCGACACGATGGCGAGGAAACTGAAGAGAACCACATTGAACTGAAGAATATTGGGGGTGATGCAGAACGGCCGGGATCATCGCAACCTGGAAGCAGGCTGGCACCTCCACCGCTGGGACCTAGGAAAGCATCTTGGGCAGACCGGTCATCTGGACAGCGTTCCAAGTATTTCGGAACCCACTCGACCACTTCCTTGCCAAGCGTCCAGCGAATGCGCGAAAACATGGCCGAGGATATAGAAAACCAAGGCCCCCTCGCGCACCACAAACGCCAGGCACAAGCCCTCTTTGCCGGAATCCAAGACGAACTGGAGGATCTCACTCCCGATGAACGCGACCAACTCACACAGCGAGCCTTTCAACACGATGCACTCCGTGCCAAACGCCCCGTGATCTGGATCCCTCGAGATGACCTAGGCGTCAGTGACGACGAGATCTACCGCACGCAGCGCTTCAGCAAACACATCTGGATCAGTAACGAATACCAGGCGTTGGATGGTAAATGCCGGACGATATTTACTCGCAGTCCGCCGGACTTTTCGGAGGTTGATCTTATTCAGCTGTAGACATGGGAATTGGTGTTTCTTCGTATCGCACGAGGTGATGATGTTGCATACAATTTTGTTGAAAGCATTAGCGGTTTTGGGAGTTTAGAGAGCATAAGTGGCGTTTTGATTTTGAGATCTTTACAGGATCGCTTTATTGGGACTGTATATAGAATTGATAGCATACATAATAGCCTGTACTTTATCTTTTAATAGGGTTATTTGAAGAAATTCGACTCTGGCACTGCGCCGTAGTCAGTCATGCTGGTGATATATATCGTGAGCCCTGGCAACGTAGCGATGTAGGTTGTTTCAGTGATTATATGTGAAATTGTAGAAGTACATGCATGTAGCAGCCTCCACTATAGCCAGTATCTTTATCTTTGAACATTTAAAATCAATCCATATCAGAGTCTGTAGTCCATACATGGCTGGTAGTATGCGCCGTATCGATAGGCGGTTCCGCGGGGAAGTCAAAAAAAAAAAAAAAAAAGTGGAATACTCAACTGTCACCTCTTTTGTGAGCAACAGGACTCCAATTCCACAGGTTCAGAGGAATATAATTTTCAAGTTGTCTGAATCACTTATAAATAATTTCAATAAACATCGCAGGTATACTTATCCCTCATCGCAACCGCAATCGCAATCCAATTGCAAGCCACCCCCACTAACAATCTCTACAGAGTACCTGTAAAGAAAACAACAAAATGGCCGACCCAACAATCGACGTAAACGTCGACCTCGACATTCAACAAACTCTCCTCGTCGCCTCTCAACACGACATCCCCAAACTCCGTCTCCTAATCCGCGATAACGCCCAAACCGGCAACCCCGCCAACGTCAAGGACCCAGAGACGGGATTCACGCCGTTGCATGCTGCTATTGCTGCGTGCGAACCTGACGACGAGACAGAGGAATCCAAGGATGTGCGGGCCAATGGTGCAGAAGACGATAATGCTGGTGGGCAGGATGCAGAGCAGGAAAAAGTAAAGCAGGCGGGTCTGGAGACGGTGCGGTTTTTGTTGCAGGAGGGTGCTATTTGGAATGATTTGGATTTGAATGATGAGACGCCGGGGTGTCTTGCGAGACGCCTTGGGTTGGAGGAGATTTATGCGACGCTTGTTGATGCGGGGGTGCGCGCGGAGTTGTTGTTGAATCGGTTGGATGGGTATGAGGCGTTAATTGAGGAGGAGGATGATGATGATGAGGAGGAGGAGGAGGGGGAACAGCCGGAGCAGCAAGAAGGGGAGACTAAGGAGGAAACGGTGACGGAAGAAGAAATCCCCCAACTTGTCGAAGCGATCACTGTAGCCACAGAAACCGCACCAGAAGCAGGCACAGACGCAGAAGTCACAAACACCAATTACCTCAACAGCAACTTAACCTTCCAAAACGACCGGCTTCTGGATGCCTCCCAAAATGGCGTAATGATGGCCTGGGAATCAGAAATCATGTCTCGCAGCGCCAAAAACCTCCTCCCAACTCCAAACCTCCGCGTCCTCAACATCGGCCACGGCATGGGCATCATCGACACCTTCTTTCAAGAACAGTCGCCCTCATCGCACCATATCATCGAAGCACACCCCGACGTCCTCGCGGAAATGAAGCGCAAGGGATGGCATGAGAAGCCCGGCGTTACGATCCACGAGGGTAAGTGGAGTGAGGTGTTGCCGGCGCTGGCGCAGGAGGGCGTGACGTTTGATGCAATTTACTATGATACGTTTGCGGAGTCGTATGCGGATTTCAAGGAGTTTTTCAGTGAGCAAGTTATTGGGATTTTGGAGGAAGGGGGTCGGTGGGGGTTCTTTAATGGGATGGGGGCGGATAGGCAGATTAGTTATGATGTTTATCAGAAGGTGGTTGAGATGGATTTGTTTGAGGCTGGGTATGATGTTGAGTGGGAGGAGATTCCGGTGCCGAAGCTGGAGGGCGAGTGGAGCGGTGTGAAGAGGGCGTACTGGGTGGTGGACAATTATCGTCTGCCGCTGTGCAAGTTTATGGAGTAAATATTAGAGCACAAACTAGAGAAGAGAAAGCAGTTGCCATGATGCTTCAGATAACTATTTATACAAAGACCATATTTCACTGTGTTCGCCCACCCCAAGACAACATTAAGCGCCGGTAAGAACGAGGATTGCCGGATCATAAACCAGATAACATCACATTTTTTTTTGTCCGTTTACTTTTCAGATTGAACTTATTTTGTGTCCTCCGCACCCGCGTTGACGTTCAAGCCCAGACCCTGGGTGTCCAGGTAGAGCTTGTTGCGGCCGCCGTTGTCCTGCAAGATACGGGCAATGTTCCGGGCGTTCTCGATCTTCCGCAGCTCGATGTAACTCCTGTTCTTCTTGATAGCGTCTCCGATAAGCTCTGCCGAACGGGCCTCGCCCTGAGCGCGGACGATAAAGGCCTGCTTTTCCTGACGAGCCTTGTCGACCAAGAAAGCAGCCTGCTGAGCCTCTTGCTGGGCGACCTGCTTCGATTCGACGGCAGCAGTGAATTCGGGAGAGAAGGTAAGGTGCTATAGCGGCATTAGTAATCCATTCGCAACATTATAACCAGAACAATGGATAGGTCATACAGTCAAAGAAACATCATCCAAGGCAATGTTGAAACGGGCAGCACGGCGGGCGAGATTATCCCGGACTAGTCTTGCGACATTCTCACGCTGTGTGATCAACTGACTAGCGTTGAACTGGGCGACAACGCTCTTCAACACTTCGTTGACAATCGATGGTAAGACTCGCTCGTCAAAGTCGGACCCGAGGGTCCGGTAGATCTGCGGAAGGGCGTCCACTCTCGGTTTTGACAGGACACGGCAGGTGATATTGACCATTTGAAGGTCCTTGGTGCCGGTAAGAGAGGCAATGTTGCGCGGCTTTGCACGGACGTCGTAGATGATGGGCGTTTCGAACCAAGGGATACGAAGATGCGTTCCTAGAGGAGACACTCGTCAGAGCCGTACAAAAACGTATTGTTTCGATAAATTATCCATACCTTCACTGTAGATATCCTTCTTCACACCACTTACCCTCGAGTACTTGATCGCGCGGTGACCACCGTCAACTAGACAAAATTAGCAACCAATTCGTACAAAGCAGCACCAAATCCACATGTATTTCACCATTGAAAAGCGAATTCGACAGAACCCAGAATCCACCACCGACCAGAATAGCTGCTGCCAGTCCCAATCCTCCGCGACCCCCGCCGCTAGGGAAACCGCCGAAACCGAATCCTCCGCGGGCTCCACGTTGCTTGAGAATGAGCTGAAGCCGCTCCCACTGTTCTCTGGGATTTTGAGCCATGCTGGCGATGTTGTGGTTGAATATGAGAAAGGACGTACCGCAATCGGAATGACGGCCGCCGTTGTAAAAAGGACGTTTGAGGTTCGGAAGTGCTACCCACCGCCTTGCTATACTGCCGATTGAATTATCAACCACCGCCTGCTGCTATGGGGCAATACCGGCTTCACCTTTGCAGAGGCGCGACGCATTTTAATCTCGACAACGAACGACTTACTTTTACCTGTTTCTTCGGAGGTTTTGGTTTGCGAGTGTTTACGGATTGCATTACATATAGCGACTCATTTATACTTAGACATCGCCTATTTGTGTTGCTCTGATCAACTCACTGCCGCCGTCAATCCACTGCTCTTATCCTCAGCAGAGCTCTCTTGAGCACATTGTATCGCAATATGGCTCCAGAAAGAGGCGGAAAGAGTGTATTCCTGGGGAATATCCCATACAGTATGTGCCACCTTTCAAAGCCTATGGTATACTCACTAACAATCCCAGACCTCACCGAGGAACAGGTCAAAGACATCCTCAGTTCTGCCGGCACCGTCACGAAATTCCGTCTTATGATGAACCCCGAAACAGGAAAACCCAAGGGCTATGGATTTGCAGATTTTGCAGACGCAGATGCCGCCGCATCAGCCGTCCGTAACCTGAACGACTACGAGATCATGGGCCGCAAGATCAGGGTGGACTGGCCGCACAACAACGAGAAGGATTCCGTGCCAGAGGACTACTCGCAACCGTCGCAAATACCAGTACAAGATATACAGATGGGCAGCGCTCCCCAGGGATCTGCACCTTTGCCACCGTTGCCGCCGGGCGTGGAGCTGCCGCCGCATCTGGACTGCCCCAACGCTATCTCGCAGACGCTCTCTTCTCTTCCGCCTAATCAACTTCTTGACGTTCTCGCGCAAATGAAATCACTAGTCATGGCTGACCCGGCACGGGCCACGGAGCTGCTGCGCCAGGCTCCCCAGCTCGCATATGCTATTTTCCAGGCTCTCCTACTCATGAACCTCGTCGACTACAGTACTCTGGGCACGGTCGTCGAACAAGCTGCGCAGCCTGCAGCAGCTGCACCTCCCCCTGCTCAAGCATTCCAGCCATTCAATGCGGTTCCTACGCCCCCGATTGTCAACCAGCCCTTCGTTCCTCAGGCGACGCCGCAGCCTGCTGCTATGCCGGGGCAAGAGGAACTCTTGCAGCAGGTGCTTACAATGCCGCAGCCAGCTATTGACGCGCTTCCTCCCATGGAAAGGAGCCAGATTATGCTTCTACGACAGCAATTAATGCAAGGTGCGATGAGGTAGCGGTTGCATTTTCTTTTGTTTCTATCTTTCACTCGATCTAGTCGTTTTTGGTTTCCGTTTTTAAAGGGCACTCGGAATCAAGTAATGGAATGGCGTCAGGGATTGATTTTCAGGTTTGATTCATATTGGACAGCGAGTGTAGTATACTTGAGACTGTCAATTCATTCATAATAGTCATTACAAATCAGTAGACCTGAATATGAGTAGAAGTGAATACAAACCTGTTGTTCCCTGATAAACGAAGACATTCACTGATCAACTACATGAATGGCCTCAACCTCCCTAAACGTTTTCCTTTGTTTTGTCCCTCTTCATCCTCTCCTACACGTGATCCTACATACCCTACCAGCACTCTCTCTCACCTTTACAAAGGACAACCCTTTTCATTGGAATATCTTGGACGATCCTTTAAAAATAAACCACCCTAATAAGCCATAATGGCCCCTCAACGACTAGAAAAGAAACCCAGCACTGCACGCTCACGCTGCTCGACGCGTCGGAACTCTTCCAAAACCACGACAAAAACATCCGCATCTCCACCACCAACAACTAAGCCTAACAGTACCAGCGCTTTCAAGACCCCAACCTCCCCATCTCCAGACCCTACAGCCCACGATCTCCCCCGCGACATCCCCGAAGTCACCCGCTCCCTCCCCTACGCCGGCAAGAAGTCCCCGCGCACGCTACTAGCCCGAGGTCTCCCGCCAATGAACCAGCTGAGCGATATATACCAGGACATGACGAGGCGGGCGATGGAGCTGGGGTTTGGGGATGTGGTGGGGCATTTGGGGGGTAGGGCGTTGAGGGTTGTTACTGTTTGTTCGGGGACGGAGAGTCCGTTGTTGGCGTTGGAGATGATACAGAGGAGTAAGATATCTTTAAATACGGATTGGATCGGTGAGAGTGGCGTGCTGACGGGTTAGGTTTGAGGGAGGATTTTGGGATGTGTTTTGATTTTAAGCATCTGTTTAGTGCTGAGATTGTCCCGTTTAAGCAGGCGTATATCGAGCGGAACTTTCATCCTCGGTATTTGTTTCGAGATGTTGCTGAGTTGAAGGATAGAGTGGCGTGAGCAGTCCTTCTAAGCCCGAACAAAACCTGAACGATTGTTAACACTTGAAACAGTCAAACCGCTTACGGCTCCCTCGAGAAAATCCCCAAGAACCCTGACATCATAATCGCCGGCTTCTCCTGCGTTGACTTCTCGGGCCTAAACAACAACCGCAAAACCCTAGATGAGAAGGGCGAGTCTGGCGGAACGTTCTGGGGAATCGTCCGGTATGCGATTACATACAGACCACGGATCGTGATTTTGGAAAACGTAAAGAATGCACCCTGGGAAGAAATTAAAGAGAATTGGAACGAAATCGGATATTTCGCCGTGCATATGGCCGTCGATACGAAAGCTTATTACCTCCCCCAGACCCGCGAACGAGGATACATGTTCTGCATTGACCGCCACCTCTTGGAGGAGCGAGACATCCCAGAAACCGACATGGAGCAGTGGCTTGCCATCTTCACAGGCTTCAAGCGACCGGCCAGTTCCCCAGCCGGTATGTTCCTAATGAACAGCGATGATCGACGACTCGAGCAGATCGAGAAAGACATGGCTGCGTATATCACCTCGTCATCAGCCAAGACGGCTGTTAACTGGGCGAGATACCAAATCCGTCACCAGGGATATCGGCTGGAGCAAAACTTGGGGCATAGACGACCGATTAGTAGGTCTCAGGAGGATGGGACTTGTCAGATGCCAGATTTTGCGTGGCAGACGTATGTTAGGTCATTGCCAGAGAGGGTTTGGGATACCATTGATGCGAATTTTTTGCGAAAGCTTGGGGAGAACGGGTATGATATGAATTATAAAGAGTGAGTAGCCTTAATCCCCCTCTGTATCTTGCAAGGAGATGGAGTTAACAAGTGTAGGAGATGTATAGACCTATCCCAAGGCCTTGACCGAGAAACAGACACCCGCGCATACGGACTCGTGGGCTGCATCACGCCCTGCGGCATTCCGTACATCACTACACGAGGTGGTCCATTATGTGGTCTCGAGGCACTAGCTCTCCAAGGCCTCCCGTTGGACAGATTGCTACTCACCAGGGAAAGACACCGTGAACTACAAGACCTCGCAGGAAACGCCATGAGCTCAACAGTGGTTGGGGCTGCGGTCCTCTCGGCGTTAATCGTTGGGCATAAGGCTCTTAACCCTGGTAACGGATCTGGTCCGAAGAAGGCCCAATCGAAGCACAAACAGATCGAGCCGCGAGATGATTATCCGTTGGTGTCGAGCGGTGTTCCACTTGGACATGTCTTCAGCATAGACACCACAGACCTCAAAATACAGGCCGCACGCAGCGCAAGATACTGCACATGCGAACGACAAACAGCAACACGACAGAGCATCCTAAGATGCACTCTATGTGACCACACAGCCTGCTCCGACTGCGCCGGCAACCCGACACACGCTTACGAACGCTGGTCCAGCCTAACTCGCAGCCAGCCACTGGACTTTGTCAGTCATCTCAAGAACATCCTTCCCACGCGACTAGTTCTCTCCGGTATATTCCAAGACGATTATTATTGTCTACGCACAACTTCCTTAGGCTGCCCTCCCGCCATCTGGGATGATTTCTTGGAAGCAGTGTCACGAGCAATTGGCGATGAGCTCCGATTTTTGGACATCAAGCGGAGTGAAGATTGGACTGTTTCTTACCAGGGAAGATATTCAATTTTGAACCTTGTCATTAGTTCTACGAACATTCATTGGTTAGTTTTTGCAAAGCCGTCGGAGTTGGAACCGGCCCTGTGCTTGAACCGTGAGATACTTTCCAAGCCCGTTGCGCGAATGACCCCCGTTTCTGGGTCTCTTCTCGACGGAGAATGGGAAATATGTGCGCCAATCAGTTCCGGGTGTACGATGGCCTTTTCTGGTACCGGAGCTCGAGTTATGTCATACGAAGCGAGATGCGGATTGCAGATGAAGCAGTTTATTGGATCTGAAATTTGGAGCCAGATCACCGTCCAAGCACCGGATGAGAATGTGGAAGATTTAGAACTAGACGTTCGCGGAACTTATGAGCTCTTACCAGAATGCGGCACGGCAAATGCCTCGTTGCATAAGAAAGCTGCCACACCTGGCACTCCCACAGTGTATCTGTTCTTGGACCCCCACAAGATCAACGAGGCTGAGAATGATTCGTTTGTTTTCTCGTTGGAACATCGTCGTATTACTGGATATGCGCCGCGGTTGAATATCGCCGAGGTTTCGCATACATGGCGCTCCTCCGGAGCAACCGCTCAACCGAAGCATGTTAATGTGTATCACCGAAAGTGGACCAAAGCTCAAACGGCTCGTTTAACGCCGTACGATCCCGACGCTCCAATAACTTGCGCCAAGCTACACACTGGAACGGAAATCTCTATTGAAAATGTTGGATGCCGCGATGCGAATGTCACGCTGTTGTCATTCTCAGGCCCAGGATCAATAATAGGCTCACCAGGCCCTAAAGGTTCTTGGGGAATCATCGACCCCATTGATTCTTCAGATAGGTTAAAGGACCTTTCTTGGTTAGTGCAGAGAGCTGCCGAGTTTTCTGACTTCCAGCAATGGACTGAGGTAACCAACCGCAATAACCCTGTTCCCAGCAATAAAAACTCTATTTGCACCGTCTGCGTCCCACCAAAACCGCGAACCCTATGGGGTCGAAACAGAAAAGGTTGGATCAAAGCATATGAAGACCCATACGACGCAGCTCTCTACGAGCGACAGGTCAAAGCAAAACCATCACCAATTTTGGTCTTCCGGCGTGTTGGTGAGGATGATCTTGGACATCTGCGGGTTACTCTCAATATCCAAACCCTTTTGCATCAGGCTTGTGACAAGTTAGTTGGATCGAAGGTTGATAGCGGGGTATCTTTCTTTTGGAAATTAGTTCCCAATGCTTATGACACGAGGAATTTTGTATTTGTGAAATTTCAATTGAGCAGTAACAAGCACGACCCGCAGTCGATGCAGCCGCCTGGATTTCGTTTGGAACTGCGACCAGAACAGTTGCGGTCGTTGTCGTGGATGGTAGGTCAAGAAGACGATGATGTTGCACCGTTCGAGGAAGAGGAAACCGAGGAGGCTTTTCTGCCGTTAATGATGTGGCGCGCAGAAGCCAGGGCTACCACAAAAAAAGTTGTCCGCGGAGGCGTCCTTGCGGATGATGTTGGATATGGAAAGACCGCTATCATCCTTGGGCTCATTGACATTCAAACCGAACGTGAACTTTGCAGCATTCAGAAACCGATTGGAGGCTTCATCCCGTCAAATGCAACGCTCATCGTCGTCCCTCATATTATGCTACCCCAATGGAAGTCAGAAATTGAAAAGTTCCTAGGAAACAGGTATAACGTCTTGATATTCCAATCTGCAGCTTCTTTCACGAGCAAGACAGTCGGGGATGTTCAAAACGCAGACATCATTTTGGTTTCATGGTCTGTGTTTAATAACGGTGGCTACTATCAGAAGATACACAAGTTCACTGGCATGCCGCGGGTGCCTACGAAAGCGGGACGCAATTTTGATCATTGGTTTCAGGATGCCCAGGTTTCGCTCAGGACCCATGTCCAAATCTTGATGGACGAAGGCCCTAATGCGCTCTTAGAGGCGATTCGCGCCAACAGACGAGAAGTGAAAGACAAGCAGACAAATTCAACGTATGTCCCGTCCAGGCGACTCAGAGGGAAGGTGTATACAGAAGCAAATAGAGAGAAGTTGAACACATATGCCAACATGCACTATGCCAATGTATCCAGTGCGGAAGAAGAGTCTGATGCCAGTGACGTCGAGTGTCCTGACAGACTTAGGGCCAATGTTGACCAGCACCTGAAGCTTCGAGCTACCGGGTCATTTGATGCCAACGCTGCTGACGGCCTCAATGATTCAGATTCTGAAGGTCAGGAGACTGAGTATGAAGAATCTTCGATAGACGATTCCGTCGATGCTCGCAGTTGCTGCAGAAAAGGCCGCGGTAAGAAGCGCAAGCAGGGCGAATCGGGCAGCACCTCAAGCGGGAAAAGCAGATGGAATGATCGTAAAGAGTTTAACATCACCGAAGATCATTCTCAAGACTGGAAGACCGTCAGAACACCCTTGCTACACGCTTTTTCATTTAGCCGCCTGGTCATTGACGAATTCACATACGCCAGCCCAGAAAGACTCGCTCCTCTATTATCACTCGAGGCACGCGCAAAGTGGATTCTGTCCGGGACGCCTCCATTGAATGACTTTGCCGATGTCAATACCATTGCTCCCTTCCTGGGTGTCCATCTTGGAGTTGATGATGACGACGACGACCAGTCACAGAGTAAACGACTGAAGACGATATTGAAACATAGATCCGAAGCGGAAGCTTTCCAATCTTTCAAGGCGCCACATAGCGAGGCATGGCACCGAAGGCGGCATGAAGTCGCGCAAAGATTCCTCGACCGCTTCGCGCGTAAGAATGTTGCTGAAATTGACGAGATACCCTGCACGGAGCATATTATTCTGGTCAGCCAGTCTCCAGCCGAGAGAGCTATTTACCTCGAGCTGTACAAACAGCTAATGGCTCAGAATCGCCAGCTTCGTCGACGCAATCAGGGGCAGTTCGGAAATGATCAGATCGAAAGACTGGACGAGACTATCGGCAGCAGTTCAAGTCCAGAGGAGGCCTTACTCAAGCGATGTTCCTCACTAGCATTGCAGGGTCGTTGGGATAATGGCAAGCCTGAAATAATCACTTGTGAGACGCTTCTTGCTATTCGTGGGAAGCAGCTTGACGCCCTCGTGCATGATATCAAAATGAAGTTTGAGCTGGCTGCCTGGGTGTATTGTAGTTGCGATTTGAAATATGAATCCTTCCAGAAGTTCGTCGAGAGTCTCATCAGGCACGACTTTGGTGACAGTGAGGTCACAGAAAAGGCCTATCCGCTTCTTAAGAGTGCTGTCTTCACATCGAGACATGACGATTGGAGGATGTTCTTTGCTGAGTCGCGAGATGATGGTAGCTCTGGAAAAGTCGTGGAATCTCATGATCAATCAGAACCAGACGCCAGAGATGACGATGCTGAAGACGAAGATGACGAAGAATTTTCACCTCGAAAGTCATCCAAGAAAAGGAAGACAAACGGCGTTGGTAACGGTGTCAAGGACTCTTCCACTCAGAAAACCGGGCGAAAGAACTTCAAATCGAACAAGCCCGAAAAATATGTCCTCCCTCCGAAACCGCGCGAAACATACGAATACAACCTAGTCCTTCGCGAAGTCACATCCACACTCCGCAATCTAATAGTCGAATGGGTACTCCGGGAACGAGCCCTCCGCTTCCTACGAACCGTCTACCTCATACAAACCGGCACAGAAGTCCCCGTATGTGACGGATGTGAGAATTGTCCTAACACCCTCGACGATGTCAGCGTCCTCGGTTCCTGTGGACACGCGCTCTGCGTGGAGTGTGGCCGGGACACTATTTTGAGGGAAGAGTGCGCCGTGGAAGGCTGCCGTGGTTCAGGAAAGCGATTCAATGTCATCAAAGCAAGCACCTTAGGTCACGGTTACGAGGACAAGAGTGCGACATTCGGAGGGAGCAAATTGGATAAGCTGGTGGAGATAATCCGTGGTATTCCCAAGGATGAACGGGCGCTGTTATTCATCCAATTTCCAGGACTGATGGAAGTCGCATCCAAAGCCCTGGAACTAGCACAGATTAAGCACAACGTGATATCTCCCACTGATTGTAGATCAGCACAAAAGGTTGAGCAGTTCCAGAAAACGAGCTTTGGAGATAACCGGGTCTTGATATTGAACCTCGGTGGTGAAATGGCAGCTGGATTGTGAGTCCTCCCTTATACTATCTACCTTGGTTCTATTCATCGTAACAACTGCTAACGAGTCAGAAACCTTCAATGCGCAAACCACGTTATCTTTCTTTCACCCCTCCTCGGCCAGACCCAGTACGATTATGACTCGTCCATGACCCAGGCCATCGGACGTTGCCGTCGATACGGGCAGACCAGACACGTCCATGTCTATCATCTGCTGGTGAAGCTGACAATTGATGTGAATATCTTCCAGGAGCGTCGAGAGAAGGTGCTTGTCGAGAAGGATGGGAAGCCGGTGTTGGTCAGCTATGAGGAGGCCGTGGAGTCTGAGGCAATTAGCTGCGAGGGACCGTCGTTGGTCATGGATAATGCGTTTTGAGCCATTTTTGGTGACGTTTTGTTATTTTGTGAGTTGACATTGTCAGAGTGATATTATGTCGTGGAGTTGGATGAAGTGCGGGAGCTGTACAGACAGAAGTCAAGTGACCTCCGCTTACCAATAACCATGAATTCAGATCAGACACATACTAGAACATCTATTGTGTTAGACAATAAACTGTATTGTACTGCTGGATCAGCCTCTACAGTAATTCAAATGATATCCCAAACCTCAGGAACAATGTACTGTACAAATAGAAGCCTGGTGGATATATCTCGGGACTCCATTCCATTATGCCACCAAATAAAAAAGAAACGGGGAAAAAAAGAAAAGGGAAAACGCGTTTTAACTCTTTGTATTCGTTTATTGCTGAGCGTCCAAAGCACCATCCGTTCTCATCATGGTCTCCGGGTTCCACACCGGCGGGTCTTGCAAATTCGTGTGACCAGCACTGTTTTCGCAGCTTTCTCTCTGGCTCAACGGGCCGGGGGCAGGGACCTTGACCGATTTATCCGTCGCGGTAGCGGAGTCCTTGAGCGCGGTGAGGAGGGCCTTGGTGGATTCGGGGGTGAGGTCCTCGTAGTAGTCGTCGTTGATCTGCACCATGGGGGCGTTGACACAGGCACCGAGACATTCGACTTCGATGAAGGTGAACAGGCCGTCTTCGGTAGTGTGGCCGGGGGTAATGCCTAGGTGTTCCGAAATGGCTTCGAGGATCTTGGTGCTACCGCAGCCACCGAGCTGGCATGGTGTCTACGCCTGTTAGCAATTGACAACAATGGCCAAGCAAGAGAAACATACCGTAGTGCAAAGTTGAACAAAGTACTTGCCAACCGGCTCACGGTTGTACATGGTGTAGAAGGTTGCGACTTCGTAAACACGCATCGGGGGCATTTCAAGCAACCGGGCGACCTCGTTCATGACACTGATGCTGGTGTAGCCATGCTGGCGCTGGCCCAGATCCAAGATAGGCATGACAGCAGCCTTCTTGTACTGGGGAGGGTAGCGTTTGAGGATCTCATCGATGAGTTGGAGGTTCTGGTCGTTGAACTTGAACGGGAGGGTCGGGTTGTTGGAGGGCTTGTTGCGGTGCTAATTGAGCAGAAAACTCGTTAACGACTTCTTTCTAACATTCCCGTGGAGAGATAATTGCAATATGCTCTGCGACGATTCTCGGATTGTACATACCACGGCAAGGGCGTCACTGAAAAGTTGCGGCCCAGCGGAGAATGCTCTGCATTGGGACTTGGGGAGCTGCTGGAACAATTGACGGCCGACCCGAGGGACGACAGGGAAGAGCTTCGAAGCCATTTTCGGTGGTATCTGTGAGAGGGAGAGAGGAGAGAAGCGACGGGAAATGGAGTCGGCGTTGCGATACAGTGAGGAAGTCGAAAGTTGGAGCGAGTCGCTGGTTTTGCGGGAGCTGCGGGCAGCCAATCAGCGGCGAGAGATTACTCCCGCCTTTGTGCCAATCGTCTTGCTTACAGTAAGACACATACATTTTGGTATTTGATACAGATATAATCAATTGAGAGATCACTACTATTGTTGAAGAAAGTGCCGCAATTAGCCTACTTTTACTTTTATTCATGTTTCTCTCTGCCGGGTGGTGGCAGAGGGAGCCGCTATCAACGCAACGAACCCCGAGGCCAGACACTCATACGGAGTACTCAAAACTCATAACCATGTCTAGACCAGCTAAACATTCTCCATCTTATACACCTCATACGCAACCTCCTCATATGGATGCGCCTTAATCAACTCCTCCACAGCCTTCAGCATAATTGACCTCCCCACACACATAACCTCAACCTTCATCTCCTCAACATACTCCAGGGCACCCACAGATCCAATCGCCGGATTCGCACCATCACCCGGCTGGAACTGTCCCTGGCCGGGCATCTGAAAACAACACTTGGAGTATTTCCCTCCGGAGAAGACGCCAGCGCCGGCCGCGAAGACGGCTTCCTTGCACGGTTCGAGATGGGAGTGCGGGGTGTAAAAGATGAGCTTGTAGCGGTCTGGGATCTTGTCGGAGGACATGGTCAGGGGTCTTTTTTGGATGACGGGGCGGTGGGGTGGAGGGTTGGTTCTGGGTCTGGGAATTGTAGTTGCGGTGATCGTTGCTGGACGGGAGAGGATTCGTAGGTATGATGCCTGTGAGGGCCAGCAGATACGGGAAGGCTGCGTTATGGCCTTGCTGGCTACTGGACAGATAGCTGATGATATCCCTGGGCGCATTTGCTTGCGTGTGGTCAGTTGTCGAAAGTTGCTGTGGCGCCGTTGGGCTCGAAGTCCGCATTTACCAAGTGACGTCACATGACAGACACACCACGCAAAATACTTAAATTTTTTTGAGGATGCCAATGAAATATGTACTGAAATTCTATTTACTGTCTATATCAATGTGCCAAGAGGTGAGCATGTACTTATTTGGGAGCGTCGACCCATCCCGGAAACACGAAGGGAAGTTTCTCTGGATCCTGACCCGGCCAATTCTTGCGAATAGTCCCCATAACCACATCAAACATGATCTTGTATCCTTCCGACGTAAAATGTAGTCCTATTGCCCAGTCAGTAAGTGTGCGAGATCATACAAAGCCCAAAGGGATCAAACCATCAGACAACAGCTGCGATAAATTCTCATCATTCGGCAAATCCCTCGACCCCGGCAACGCCTGACTCTCTTTCCATCCGGTAGCATTCATGAAAGCCGTCCAGAGATCAGCCACAGGGACATTCAACGAAGCTCCAACCTCCCGAGCCGCCTCCGCGTACGACTTGGCGTGGTGGGCGGTTCTGCTGGGGTGCTGCAAGCCTTTACTTGCGTCAAATGACTCCAGCTGGTACTCATTTATCGGAGGCGGTGCTATGAGGATTATCCTTGGGTTCTGGGCTTTTGTTGCTGGGTGTTCAATGATAGTTTGCAGGTTCTTTTTGTAATCGTCTAGTGAGACATATTGGGCATTCCGGGGCAGAGAGGCGTCATTTGCACCAAAGAAGATGGTCTATGTGGTTAGTACTGGACAAAGAAACATCAATGCAAGATGGCGTACCATGAACCGGACCATAGCCGTCTCAGGTTGCGGGAAGAATTTTGGAAAGACCTTGACAGCGTGGGCAGTGTTGTATCCTCTGAGACAATCAGTCATTCCTGATCTGTTGGAAATGCAGGTGAAACATACGAAAAGCCCCGGTTGATCACATCTAGCTTGCGGATATACGCTACAGGAATCAGCATCTGCGTGATGACTAGATTGGGTTGAAGACTAACCATCTTGAAGAGCTCCGAAGAAACCAAAATCCAGGTCTCTTTGACACGAGTTCTGGGTGATCGAGTCGCCAAAGAGAATGAATTGGTCGTATGGCTTGTAGAGAACCTCTGAATCGTTTGTAGACATTATAATGCCTTTCTTTCCCGTATGGCCGTATAGAAAGAACTGTAGGGAGTTTTATAGAAATTCGTCCGGTTCAGCGGAGAGCAATCTGCCCCGCACAAACAGAGAATCAGCTAGCATGGGAATGTTTACGACGAGCCATTCTATAGTGGAGTACAAAGAGCTTTAGCAGAAGAACAGGCGGATTTTCTCGTTTATGTACAAAGTCATCTCAGGCGATATCCTGCATATGCTTCATAGCCTGCTCTGCTGCGTTTCTGACAAACTCATCCGGCCAGTCTTTGGAAACTTCGATTGATCGTTCTTTCCAAAATGGCCACCATTCAGCAGGATGATCGAAATGCTTCAGGGTACTAAGGATATCTCTCGGATGCCGATTCTTCATCTTGCCGTTGCAAAGACCTTCGTATAACTTCCGCCCGGTATGTTTGACCCAACAAGTCACAGCCGGAATGTGAAATCCTGGTGTGAAAAGCTCAGGGGCCTGAGCTTCCCTTCTTCCATCCTTGTCGTCCTTGGGATCCAGATGCCATTCGAGAGCGTAGATCAGGTAATCGAATGCACGCTTCATGTCAAATAGACCTAGCTCCGCTGCCACGGGTTGTGCTTCAACGTCTTGTGCTTTGAGGTAGTTATCATGGGCATGTTGTTTGGAAGTTCCGAAATCGTCGCTCTTGGAACACGCTTTGACGGTGATGTGCGAGGTCATCTAATTGGCATCCCTCCAGACACGCTGGTTATAATCGGCATCCACATGAGGAAGCAACTGAGACATTTTCATAAGTATCTGGTAGAAGTTTAAACTAGAGTAGTACTCCGCATCAGTCAAAGTGAACTACATGAATAGATAGTCTGGCTATTTACTATCCTGATTGATTCGCTTGGTGGCTCGCTTGCCACTCGCTACACATCTTTAATATTGCTTTTCACTACTTGTATATCTCAAAACGGTAGGTCTCAAGGCATCACTTAATTAAGTGGACGTGTACAATTGGTTCGAGAGGCGGCAAGTGAGAATCACCGAGGACAGTTTGCGGCGGCTATACGGAGTACACCTACAGTTCAAGCTAGATACGGATGGTCTGGCGAATACCAAGGATGATACAGGCTGAGTTAGCTATACATATTGAATGTTTGATCCACATACCCTGTCGAGCATTGGCGCACATACTCAACTGGACATAGTAGTAGTCCTACTGATCCTCAGTGGGTGTCTGCTTAGATCGGTCAATCAAAGAATGCATAATCATTTGGAATACATCCGTGACTGTAAACCCGATAATATGTATTGCTATTCACGGAGTACATAAATAATCTACTCCGTTCTGATCCGCGGTATGGCCGACTCACATTTTCTTTATACATGGATTCATTCTGTTTGTCGATCATCTTGTATCCTACAACTGCCCTATTCACTTCTAGAGTAGGCATTTGAAGCCGTGATCCTAGTCGCCGAGGCGTATGTTTCTCGACAGCCATCGCGAAAGACTTGTGATATTTGAAATGGAGGAATTTGATATATGCCAGTTTTGTTTTGCAAATGGGGCATCTTTTTCAGATCCAACACACCAGATGATCAGCATTGAGCCCGAAACTGGAAATCGGTTGACCTGATTGCTCTAGAATCCCAATTGTGTTGACTATCAGGAGTCAGCCAACTTTCCGGTTTAATCTGGCATTAAGCAGCCTCGTCCTGTTGTGTAACTATCGCAATATCATGGCCGACTGTTTCAATCGTCATCTTTCTCATCACTGATTTTCACCCATATCCATACACACCACTAGATCCATTAACAATGATATTGCAATTGAATTGGCATGTTCCAGAGAACATTCATACCAACACCACTAACCTATTTAAGCTGCGAGCCGATAAAACAAAGTAGAATATTTGTGAGATTGTTAATTATGCAACAGCCAAAGAAGCCGAATGACGGAATCATCTTACATGTTTGGTGACTGAGCGGATGCTAGTAAGTCATTGACCCGAACGGTTCTCGGACAGCTTTGCCTCATAACGGAATGACAATAACAGCATGCATTCGCAAAGTACGGGTGAAAGGTGGACGCGTCAGACTTAAGTGGCATCGATTGTATATTGGTCCAAGACGCCAACCCCGCCAACTCCATTTCCTGGCGGACATCCGCTAACGTCTTCGGTTGGTGAGCACAGATACGCCGGCTCAAGTGCCAAATTGACTGTTTGAGTGGTATTTGGGAGCCATATGACGCGGTATATGACTGTAAAGTGTGTCGTGACATGTGTACCGGATTTTCTAACAAGTTAACGGCTTTTCTTTTCAGTTCCAGTATTCACTCTGGGATGACTGAGCCTATGGGGGAGCAACCTAGGCGGTTCCGTGCTTTAATACAAGGCTGAGTTTCAACGTTTCCATGACCAAATATAGCCAACACATTAGCTTTCAGCACCCCTAGACTCTATCTCCTAGGAACCTGATATGTCGGATAAGAGTCTTGTCTATGGCGTGAGTAAAGTCCCATCAGGATCTGCTGGGTCTACATGTTTATCAGCAAACCAGACCGCAAGGTATATGTACGACTGGCCGATTCCGCACATGCGCAGAATCAGGAATATGTCGATCCGAACGACTACGGGTGTGTAGGCATGGCCTACTTAATATGGCAAACGTACACGTTATATGTGCATGTACAAGCCTCCCCGTCTCTCAATTTATGCCCAACAATACCTGTTTGATTTTTCCACGACCGTCAGGATGTATCGCCATGTGCTAGTATAATTGGCCACAGCTCACCCACTCAGCTGTGCCACAGCCGGGTTGCCTAGGACTTTCTGATTACTTTATAAAGCAATACACATACAGGAGCAACACAGTGAGCAGAGCAATTGGAACTCAGAGAACCCATTATGCATTACTGGAGGGAGGGGAGATAGAGACAGGGCAGAATATGTTCAATGACTATGAGCGCTTAGTCGACGTAAGAAATGAACTCAGGGCAGGATGGGTGGCTAGGAGTGCTTGAAGCTTTTTGACTGCGCCGCACCTTACACTGCCTCGGATTTGCCTGTTCAACGGCAGCTTTCTAGCTGAGATAGTCGCCACTGTTGGCAAACGCTAACACATGGGACAAATGAAGAACCGTGGCTGGCCATATTGTTGGTTTTTGCCGCCGAGGCTAAAGGATTGAATGCAAGTATCAGGATATGGCAACACACAGCTATGTGTTGGGCTTCTGCCTTGGATATTCTCATAAATTCCAGAGTTTGCATGGTTCTGCGAGGTAAGCTATAAAAAGAGAAAGAAAAGATTCTATTGACATTGTTAAGCTCTTCAGTTTTTCACACTTCATCACCATTGTCATTTCCAGTGTCCGACTCACCAACAGACGTGCTTTTGTTCTCGGGCGGCATCATGAATACAAAAAAGTTGGTTCCCATGTCTCTTATTCCAGAAACCTACTGACATATATAGGATATGCCGTCAGTTCGCAAACTCAGGAGATTGCAAGTTCAAGAAATGCAAGTATCCCCACGTAAAAGGCAGCTACGCTCCTGCTACCAATCCAAAAGAGCGCAAATCGAAACCGACCGATCTATTAAATTCCGAGCGAGAATTCCGAACATGGCGAAGGGATGTTCCACTCGATGTGGTGAATGCCAGGCCCCTTCGTGGCCGGTTAGCATCATTTTTCCAGGATGCTCGGCGACTGATAGACGTCGATGCCGGTATACGCCAGGACGTGATACAAGTGCTCGCTCGTGACGGTGGTTTGGTGCGAATCAAAGAGCTGGTCGGTCAAGATTTTCAGTCCATGGCGTCCGTGCAAAAAGAGGATGTTTTCAAGAAACAGATGTTGCCTTTCCTGGAGATAGTCTCCCATCCAAATGTTCTATCGTCGCTGGTTCTGGAGCAGGTTGTTGGAACGATATATAATTTCTTGTTCGGGTTTAACGGGGAAAGAGCCTCCAGCTTATTCAAATACATCTGTGATGTTTTGGAAACGGCGAATAAAGATGAGGACTGTGCCTTACGATTCGATGTATCTGTCCATGTCTTTTCGAAAATCGTGGACTTAAACTCGACAGCAATCGTTCAAGAGTCACTTAAAGCCCAGGCCAAAAGATTTGAAGGCGTGTTTCTTGCCTTGAGCACTAACATGACCGACATCTATAATGCGCGCTCGCATCTTGATCGTCTGTTGTGTCGACTAGAAGTCGGAAGTTCCCTACCCTCTGCAGCAAAGAAGACGCCAAAAGCAGCAACGTCGAATGTCTCCTTTGTCATACACCATGAACCCCCTGGTGGCCGCCATGACAATGACCATAGAGATATTTGTAACATCAAGATTATGCCCAGCTCCCAGGAAATCTCGTGCAACCGTGCTGAGTACCTCCCCGTTATCAATCCAGCGCAGTGGCATGTTGGTGGGCTAGATGGGCTACTGGACAGGAACTTCCGCTTGCTACGTGAGGATACCATCGGCCAGCTTCGAGATGCGATCCACAACGAAATGAGTCATTCGAAACATTCAAAAGTGCAAAGATCGCAGCAGCGCACATATGTGTACAGTGATGTTCAAATTGCGAAGCTCTCCTTCGACCAGCTTCTGGGCTTTCACTTTGAGATTAGTTTTCCGCAACCCACCGCTGCCGTCAAAGCATCATCAGCTAAGGAACGGGAGAATTGGTGGCGGATGTCGAAACGTCTACAGCATGGGGCACTCGTTTGTTTGATAATCAAGGGAAAGAAGGTGTTTTTCTGCACCGTCACCGAGTCCCCGAGACCTTCGCCTCGGAAGGAGAGAGACCGAAACAAACCCCATGCAAAGTCGGATGGGCTGTGGAAAGAATCAACTACTGCAACAGTCTCATTGGAACTCACCGATTCCGGCAACAGGGGTATTCAATGCATCCTTGATCAGTACAGCTCGGGTGCTTCGAGGTTCACTCTTGTCGAATTTCCCGGTGTCCTTCTTCCTGCCTTTGGACCAACTCTTCGCGCCTTGCAGTCAATGAAGCGGACTGGTGGTCTCCCATTTGCAGACCTTCTCGTTTCTACAAATGAAAGACCAGAAGTCTCCTTTCCTTCATACGCAAGGAAGCCTGGGTTTGCTTTTGATCTTAGTAGTGTGATGGATGAAGGTGCCGGTCTTTCCATCCGTCCCGGTCAGCCAGTCGACCTACAATATCTTCAGCAGCATTCAAGTCTTGACGATGCCCAGGCTGCTGCTCTTGTCAACTGCCTCCAGCGGAAAATTGGACTTGTTCAAGGGCCACCCGGTACTGGGAAGAGTTACACCGGAGTTGCGCTCATCAAAGTACTGTTAGCAAACAAAATGCGTGGGAAGACACGACTTGGACCGATCATCTGTGTCACCTACACTAACCACGCGCTCGACCAGCTGCTTGAGGCTCTAATCGACAAGAATGTGACATCACAGATTGTTCGTATTGGATCGCAGTCCAAATCAGAGAAAGTGGAGCCATTTAACCTGCGAAATGTCGCCAGGAATTTCGAAAAAACGAAGATGGAAAATTCGGCGCGACGGAATTTGTATCGGCAACTTGAGGAAAATGAGGACGAATTTGATACCATTGGCTTGAACAAAAATGTTTCTTTTTCTCGACTGTCGGTCTATCTTCACCAGCAATATCCCGACCACTACAACCAGCTGTTTGGGAATGATGAAGATGATTTTGAAAAACCTGATAAAGACCCTCAAAAACTCATCAAGACATGGCTGCATACTGGTCCACGACACAATGGGGCTGTTCGCCCCGTGGGTCAACTCGACAGAGTCAGCGTTTTTGAGATGTCCCGAGCAGAGCGAGCAGCTTTGTTCAACCATTGGAGCGCCGAAATAAAAGCGGAGATGCATGAAGAAGTCATCAAACTCGCCTCATCCCATTCTAAAGCCAAATCCGAGCTCGATAATATCCGTGACGAAGTGCGTCTGCGATGTCTGAACAAAGCAGACATCATTGGCCTTACAACCACAGGGCTTGCCCGGAACTTGAATATGCTCCAACGTCTCCAATCCAAGGTTGTTTTGTGCGAGGAGGCTGGTGAAGTCCTTGAATCTCATCTCCTTACAGCTTTTTTGCCATCGGTTGAGCATGCTATTCTTATTGGTGATCATCTCCAGCTTCGACCTCAGGTGCAAAACTACGACTTGTCTCGGGAAAATCGTCGTGGAGGCGAAAAGTACTCTTTGGATGTGTCTCTATTCGAACGAATGGTCGATTCAGAGAGTGTCATGGGCTCTGGCCTCCCATTCAGCACATTGGAAACCCAGCGCCGGATGCATCCATCCATTGCACAACTGGTCCGCGATACGTTATATCCACAGCTCATTGATGCACCGTCTACGCTACGGCATCCAGAAGTAGCTGGGATGAGAAAGAGACTATTCTGGCTTGACCATCGCATGTTTGAAAATGACGCCTCGAGTACAGATGCCGTGTCAACTTCCCACTGGAACAAATACGAGATTGAGATGACGGCAGCACTCGTTAACCATCTCGTCAGACAAGGGAAATACAAAAATGGCGATATTGCAGTTCTGACTCCATATCTCGGCCAGCTCCATCGACTTCGCCAGAGACTTAGTCAGTCCTTTGCGATTGCACTGGGAGAACGAGACCAGGACGAACTTGACAAGGCGGGGTTCGAAGATGACGATGCAAGCAATCCTGTCGTTAAAGCTACGTTACTGCAAACCCTACGGGCAGCGACAATTGATAATTTCCAAGGCGAAGAAGCAAAGGTTGTGGTGATCTCTCTGGTACGAAGCAATCCACAGAACCAATGTGGGTTTTTGCGTACTTCGAATCGGATTAACGTCCTTTTATCACGAGCACAGCATGGAATGTATATCATAGGCAATTCGCAGACGTCCATTCATGTCGGCATGTGGACAAATGTTGTGGAGGTCCTTCGTCAAAATGAGAATATTGGTGCGACTTTGCAGTTACAATGTCCTCGACATCCAGAAACCCCAATATTTGTCTCTCAGCCTGACGACTTCCCGCAGGTCTCACCAGAAGGAGGCTGTGATCAACGTTGTGTGAATCGTCTATCATGTGGCCATCCCTGCATACAAAAGTGCCATTCTGAGATGCTGCATAATGCAGTCTACTGCCTGGAGCGTTGTCCACGACCACGTAAAGGATGTACCCATCCCTGTCCAAAAAAATGTGGTGACCCTTGTCCAGCCAAGTGTATAGTCAATGTGTTTCAGAAAGACAGGGTACTTAAATGTGGCCACCTCATGCCTAATCTTCCATGTTGGCAGAGCCAGGACCTTTCAACAGTTCGTTGTACAACTATGGTTATGAAGGAAGTTCCGCACTGTCATCACAAAGTCAGTGTATCTTGCTTCGTTGATGTTGAATTGTCTCAATATTCGTGTACCAAGATGTGCCACCAACCCTTGCCCTGCGGTCATAAGTGCAAGAATTTGTGTTCAAAGTGCGTCACGAAACCTAATTCTGGGGGTGTGCAAATCAACCATGGTGCCTGCAAGCAAGAGTGCGGTCGAAAACATTCAACTTGTGCACACACATGTACCACACGATGCCATGGAGATGAACCCTGTCCACCTTGCCAGGCTCCTTGCGATGTAAGCTGCGGTCATTCAAGATGTATGCGGAAATGCAACGAACCCTGCACTCCTTGTGCCGTAGAAAAGTGTTTTTCTGCGTGTCCGCACAGCTCATGTACACTACCTTGTGCAGCACCATGCGACCACATTCCCTGCAGTCGTCGATGCGAGATAAGGCTGGACTGTGGACATCAATGTCCTTCTCTTTGTGGAGAGAGTTGTCCGTCTAGTCGCTACTGCCAGATATGCGGAGATGAGGACGTCAAGAATCATGGAGTGGACTTCATCCTCGGTGAACCATACAAGGAAATCAACCTGGATGAGAATCCCTGTGTATTTCCCAAATGTGGCCACTTCCTAACCGTGGAAAGTATGGATGCACAAATGGATCTGAAAAAATACTACGACGTTGATGCAGAGGACCGGCCAATCGCCATTACAGATGCGGTCCATCCTTTTTCTATGGACGATATCAAGACATGTGCGACATGCCGTGGGCCACTGAGAGATATTGCGAGATATGGTCGACTCGTCCGTCGTGCAATTCTGGATGAATCAACTAAGAAGTTAATTTTGTACCTCAACCGGGAGTATGTACCTTTGGCTCAGGAAGTCCCTCGACAGATTGCACAGCTTCAAAATGCCAAGAATGAGGGGAGGCTACCATGGCCTGAGAGCTGTCAAATTAGTGGCACGAGATCTCAGCAGGTCAGCACGATGGTTAAAATAATGAACGTGGTTGCGCCAGAGAGATGGAAGAAGATTCTTGAAACGCACAAGCGAGTCAACAAGTACCGCCGAGGTGTCGATGTGGATGAACAGCCTTTTAATCGAGTTCGCGATTTGGTCTGGTATGCTCGACAAAGCAACAATTTGACCAGTGCGTTTGATTTCGACAACAACGTGCTCCAAACAAAAGGGGCTCTTCAAGGAACGGCACTCAGTGTGCGACTTGATCTGGCGCTCTTGGCCGACTTGTTAGCTCTGAAGAAGAAGACTTCTTCAAACGTGACGGTTGAGCTTAAATTGGACAAGACGAAAGAAGATTGCCAGGAGCTCATCAGAATGGCAACACAATCAAGCCGAATCCTTCAGCAGACAGAAGGCTATATATTTCTCGCGCAGTTGCATGCCCTGGAGCGGTCTCATTCTCCCCCAGAAGCTACAGAGGCACACCTGCAGAACTGCCGTGCAGCAATCACTGAAGCAAGATCCCTTTGCACAGCCTACCCTGGCCAAACGCAAGGCTTGCCAGATGAAATTGACAATGTTGAGAAGATGCTTGAGGGTCTAACTTTCTACACGGCCGTTACCAACAATGAACGCATGGCAGTTATTCAAGCTATGGCACGTGAGTTCCGAGGTACAGGACATTGGTATTACTGCCAGAATGGACACCCCTTTACGATAGGAGAGTGTGGAGGAGCAATGCAGACGACAGCGTGCCCTGAATGTGGTGCGCCAGTTGGGGGACGGAATCATCAGACAGCAGATGGAGTGACTCGGGCAGGGGATTTGGAGAATGTGTTTTCTGCGATGAGATTATAGGGATTCGCTTGGATGTACTTAAATAAGTATATGGACTTTTTTTGCTTCCATTAATTGCCTAGTGGAATCCATCTCACCACCAGTTTCCCATATATTCAAAATGGCCACAAGGCCCTACTCCCTGCCTCCGGGATCCCGAATCCTTGTTACAGGTGCAAACGGCTACATCGCATCCCATGTGGTCAACAACCTCCTGAGTCTTGAATGCGTGATGCAGAGAGCCGTCTGCTCCACCACTCTCAGCTAGTCTTTGGGACCGAGTGTTGCGCGGCCAGGGTGCAACCCTGATGGGTTCAAATGACTACGGAGTATATCTCAATTGAAACCCAGGACGAGGCCAATACCAATGTTCACAACTGCAGATCACTAAAGTACGTGTGACACGTCATGTCTTAGTACTTTGGTGATTTGAATGCAGCGTTTTGCTGCTTGCTAGCCTGCATAAGCTGAATTTACAGGCACCTGCCGGTGAATAATAACCATCTGCGGCCGTGAAGGCGACCTGATTTTGTATATAGCCGGCCAAGGGCGCTTTGGCTGACAAGATCTTTTCTGTCTATACAGGACCGATGAATTTCCTATCATTAAACCTGAAATTGTCGGGGCTCAGGTATATGCAAGTTTCAATAGGTTTTGCAATGGCGGTGACTTCGTACATATCACGCATTGGCTTGGATCTCTTCAGCTGAATCTGCAGAAAGTATATTGTCTTTTCAGCCCAGGCGGAGTTCTGGTCTGCATCCTCCAGTGACATTTATCTAAACCCTTTGGCGATCACGGGAATTCAGCTTATTTATGTTGCGTGATATGGTCTAGGCGGCTGAATCTAGGCTAAGGATGCATTGTACGGAAGACTACCTATGCGTAGTGGCATGGCAAAATGCTCTGGATGCCTGACACAGACAGCGTCATCTGTAGAATTCAATAGAAATCCCGCCTCTGGATTCATGGACGACCAGCTGAAGCCATTGCTCAGAATGTTATAAATACCTGCCTCTTCTTCTGCTAACCTGATTATCGTCCACTCCAACTTCAGCATTTCATTACCAAACTCAATTGACCAACCATCAAACTCGCTCTGTTAAACAACCATGGCCAGCCAAATCCGCCCCGGTCTTTACTTGTTAGAAGTCGAGCACAGCCATCTACTGCTGGACCTTGACGACTCGAAGACTGCCAATGGAACTGCCGTTCAGACATAGTAAGAGCCTCTCATAGAAAGTTTTAAATTGGCGGCGTGAAAGTCCTCTAAGCAATCGAACAGTGAGTCCAAATTCGACAACGTCAACCAGAAGTGGCAGGTTGTGTCTGCGGGTAACGACGAGTACTTAATCCTTGCCAACAAGGCTGGTACCTACGTGACAGCCCCGAGTATGATAATCCCAATTGAAGCCAGTCAGAGTCACCTGAGTCTAACATCATCGCAGAGCAGGACACCTATGAGATTACCGGAAACTTGATCTCGCCAACTGACAAGCATGCGAGATGGAAGTTTGTCGAGGTTGGCAACGGCGCCTATTAGTATGTGGAACCTGACTGATATCCACTGTCTCAAATCTGACCATACTACACCTACAGTATCTACAGCGTTGCCTTCCCCAAATCCGTCTTTGACGTCCAGCGCTCCGGGAAGAACAACAAGACTTCTGTCCTAGCTTATCCTGCGAGGTCGAGCGACAACGCCAACCAACAGTGGAGGCTCAAGCCAACCCAGTAAGCTGCAGCTTTCTCACTGTGGACTTATGATGTAAATGCCAATCAAGCTTTGCTTTAAATTTGAACAAACTATTTCAACAATACTAGCAAGACTAGCAATCAACTACGCGTTTTATCACACATTTCGCACAGGCGTGTCCAATAGCAAGTAGAGAAGAGAGTGCAGCTCCTTTCCAGTGCAAAATCCATTGCATCATTATTGTCAGTATTGTGACATTTCAACACCTTAGTCTCATGACACCTACTGCATGTGGTCTCAATTTCGTGTCATCGCCGTCGGAGCGCAATTTTTGATCAATCAATAACGTCCAAGGCCTATAAAGCTTTACGGCGTTGCAGCCCAATGGAGCCCGAGATATGACCCATCTTCTAAGCTACCGGCCTGCAACGGGATAAGATTCTAAGCCTAAGGAGCAATACTAAGTAATGACCAAGATAAGTCCCTCTATTCTACAAAGTAAGCCACGGGCCCTGCTTATTTTGGTTTGTTCGGCTGCTTCCGGCGATAGGTTTCTCGCACTGGACAGCCCCAATCAGCGTGCACTTCCCAGTCCCCGATGCCATGGACTTCGGGGATTTTCTTCTTTCCTTTCCCCCCTCGGATCAAGTTTTTAGGTCGATATTCTGGATTGACTTCCATGCGACGAATGGCTGAGCCGTGAATTGTAGCCTGCTTAGGGATATCACGTCTTTCCCCGAGGGGGAGTGGCCATCGAATGGGCTTCCAGGATCCATCATTTTGCATATTCATCCTCCGAAATGGAAGGTATTCCACCAATTGCCAGGATAGAACAGTGGGCCACGGGACACCGTGGCCATATCGTAGAAAATCATGAATTTGACCGTTCGTGCTCGCTCTCCAAAGCGCATACTTGAATTTAGATCTTTCTTTTGTCTCTTCGCCATTCGCTTCACTTCCCTGGCTGACATTGTTTTGCTGCGGATAACGCCGAAGGTCATTATCATTTGTTGAATCATCAAAGCAGTGGAATTGTTTCAATTTAGTAGGATCAAATCTAAGCCCCGCGCGCTGCGCTTCATGAACCATCCATACTAAAGGCACATGACTCAGCGCAAAGTCTTCATCTTCACTCAATTTGAATCCGCCGCCGATATCTGCATGGCATCCAGGAAACCAAATCTCCTCGATGTCCTGAGTGGTATCCTCGCTTTCCTCGGAAGGACAACCCTCAGACTCGTACGGAGATCTAGGCCGCACAAGGGACTGATCAGTTACTGTTGTGGACGTAGTTGCTGGAACGGTCGAGTCTGCTGCCGGGTGCTGCAATGAGACTTCGTTTCGAAACTCAGTATGCATTCGCTGATCACCAATGCTCACAGCTTGCCGACGGGAACGAGAAACCGGCCGATAGAATGTCTCTTCCGTTGAAATCCCTGGTCCAGGGGATTCGCTCGTGGTAGATCTATGACCCTCAATTCTAGGACTCTGATCAGAGTGACTTTCTTGTCGATGAGGGAGACGCAGATATCGCCCCAGGCGATCACGCAACCTCTCTCGAACTGACAGCGAGATTGAATTGGAGTCTGACATCAGATCCTCTCGAAACTTCGCGCGACGCTCGTCAATACCGACCGCATGCCGAATGACTTTGGCCGAAGTTTTCGCCGTAAAAGGAAATCTAAATTTGTCGCGAGACACTTCGAACCGTGGTATGCTATTGACGGTATCAAATAACCCTAGAAAACGGATCTGCGATACTGGAAGACAGAAAGTCTCCCGTAATGCCTTCATGTACTGGTATATCTCGTCTTTTTCTTTCTGATCAGTATCCACCCTGTTACTGCGTTGCCCCCACTTGGCAAAGACAGACCAGATATAGCGGACCTTCCCTTCATTTCCTGCTTCTAAAATGCCGACATGGTCCAACATCTCCGCCAGCAGGCGCGCGACGTACGCTCCACGACTAAAGCCAAAGATGTAAATCCTATCCCCGGGGCAGTAAAAGCGCATGAGGAATCTATAACCGTCCATGACATGTTCATCAAAGGCCGTGCCTAAGGCAGCGTCTTTTGCATTAAAATACCATTTCTTGATGGAATTGTCGGCGGTGCCACGGGACATCCAAATTGAGGTGGTATACGTTCCAAACCCAGGCTGATAATAATGAAACTGACGGGTGTCATTGCGATCAAGCATCTTCTATGGGTGTAAGGGCTGCTCTAACAGTCGGCTCGTACTAGACTCACTTACTCGGTAGATCTTGAGGACATTACTATCTGCTTCGTCGCCTCGGAATTTGTATCCTGTGCCGTCGAAGCACAGGACAAACTCCTTATTTATTGCGGCTCGCTCCATGCTATGAATCTGTTTCTGCACTGTCGATATGTTGCACAATGGACTCTTGCATAAAGAGAGAAAATAAACACAGCAGGTCTTAGCAGAGTCCTCGATTCTTTCTGGAAGCTCCAGAAAGTGGTGTTGTCATCAAAGATGCGTATCCATGGTTGATACCAGCACGTGGCGAAGTTTAGCGTCACGCTTGTAACAATTGGATCAGGTTGATGACAACTATCGCAGACCCAAGCCGAACTGGTTGTAATTAGAATTTAGCATCGAACCACAAAGAGACTACACTACTCTCTTCCAGGTTAAAGGAGATTGTATAGACCTCATGTGCCTTTTGGTAGATGGTCATGCACATATCAGAATGGCTCAGCCTATGAATCGGGCTACCTGGAATGCTCCTGTAAGGCTTTCAGTATGTATCCTATCACTGGCCTCACTTCCGGGGCGTGCTGTAGAGATAAAAGCTGTATCCGGCGTTAAAATGATCTTTTGAGAACCTCCTAAACCTATTGGCATAGCGGTTCTCATGGGGCCGGCTGCGAACTTATCATCTAGTCCCGCATAGGCTTATCTGTCTGTCTGATGTGGAATAATGATCGAACCGAGACTAGCATAGCCTGGAGAAGGTGATTGAAGGGTGCGAATGATATATAATCTCTTTCAAGGTAGTAATACGCCATATATACAACTGGAGAGCCGCGACGAGCCTGGAATGCGCCTCAACCACAAGACTCAATGGAGTTCTAGGATCAATAGTAGGTGCAATATGTACCCATATCATCCCCGACACGCCATTCATCCGGGTGCCGTTCTGCACATTCCAAAAGACCCCGATAATCCAGACCATCAAGATTCTTCAAGCTCTCATCGGCACCACGTGCACATAGAACTTTAATCGCCACTTCCTCTAGGTTCCGTGCCGCCTTATGCAGGGGAGTTTCGCGAAGAAACTCATCGCGGGGATTGATCAAAGCGCCTCTGTCGAGAAGCGCATTGATACCCTCTATCCAGCCTGCTGTGGCAGCTAAGTGGAGGAGCGTGATGTCTTCGACTATGGGGACGTTGGGATCTGCGCCTTCTGCTAGGAGCCGGTTGGCGATGTCGATGTTTCTGTCTCGAAAAGCGAAGTATAATGGTGTCGCTCCTTGAGGTTCGTGCGTCACGGGTATGTCGAGTAGGGGCTTGTAGTGTAGAAGGATTTGGAGGATTTCAAAATGACCAAGATGAGCAACTTCGTGTAATGGGGTCCAGCCCTACGTTAGGTTAGCTGATGAAAATTTTAAACTTAAAAGGGTCAACGTGTACATGGTTATAGCTTCTCGCGTTCACGTCAGCACCATTATCTAGTAATACTTTGACTGACTCTGGATCGTCACCCATACAGGCCTCCTGTAGTGCCGGGCGACCAGAGCTAGTCCTAGCATTAGGATTTGCTCCATGTTGTAAGAGTAACTCCACAATCTTGCTGTGCCTTTTCAATGCTGCCCAATGCAACGGGAACCGACCGCTGAACAGAATAGGGTGCTCGCCATCTATATAATGGTTGCCCAAGCTGTACTGCCGTATGTCCACTGCGGCGCCATGGCTTAGGAGGAACTTTGCCATCTTGACATTTCCATGCTCAGCTGCAACTGATAGAGCCGTGCGTCCGTCGAGGGGATCTCGAGCATTGATGTCGACTTGTTTCAACATGATCGTCACTAAGGTCGTGGAGCCAACTCGCACCGCTTGGAGGAGCTCCCTGGTGAATTCGGGATCATTTTCTTTGCCGGCTTTAGCTTCTGATGGTGTCAGGGTTGTGGCCGAGCTTGTATCTGACGGCTGTTCAGATTCAACCGCGGATGCAAAATGGACGATTGCTGACCCTGCATCATCGTCGAATTTATGTCTCATCGGGACATTTGCAGAGGTTGTCATTATGGCCGATGTTCGGAATGTGAGTAGTCTTCCAGCTGTCAGGTATGAATTGTCCCATAAGAGTCATCCACTTACAATGTAAGACTTCCCATAGCATCCGAGAACATCGCCTTCGTGCGCTCCAAGTCCGTCATCAACACGAACACCTCCCTCCGCCTCCAGAACCACATAACATCACCCCGTCTCATCCGCCGCTTCGACCCATTCCCGGAACCTTTATGCGCAGAATCCTCGAGTTGAAGATGCGGAATCAACTTGCGCATAACCCGATCACACGCCAACCGACAATTATCCATGGGATCTTGCAGATCCTTCAACGCTCTGTTAATCTCACCGTCCTGATCAACGAACTCCTGTATATCTGGCGACGCAAGCGCGCCCTGTAAGTTGCACACGAGCAAATTGAAGTTCTTGATGTCGCGACTAATGCTAATTATCTCCTGTGGTGCATTTCGTATTGTTGTGAAAAACTGATAGAGCTGGAGAGAGGCTTTAGCGGCAGCTTCTGCTAGCCCCGGAACAGCTTCTGCTGTTCCGATTGCTTCGGCCATTGTTTATGGTTGTAGTTAATAATTTTTGGCAAGGTTGGGTGGAGTATATTGAATATAGAGTGGCGGTAAGGGGATCAGCACACCCAGCCTGGGGAGCAGACCCCAGGGAACCGACAATGGGCAGAAAGCAGCAACCGAGGACCATGGTCTCTGGGACAGCATCTAGCTCGACAACTAGCCAATACCCTACCAGCAGACCCATCCGAGGGTTTTGAAAGCACGACACAAACAGCCAATAGCCAGTTCCCAGGGAGAATAGAGGTGCTACCAGGTCCAGAGGC